CATGCTTCCACCTCCTGAGGGTTGGATTACAAGCATGCGCCACCAAGCCCAGATGGTACTGGAGGAGACTGAACCAGGGCCTTGTGTATGCTAGTCAAGCATGTCACCAAGTTACATGTCCGGCCACTGAGAACTTAAAAATAAAATAATGGTGATAATAACAATAAAATAGGAACACAAACATCTTTTATTGTATCTGGAGGAAGGAGTTTAATCACAAGGAAAGGTAAGCACTGGAGTAAAAAGCTGTTTAGGAATGATCTAGGATAAAAAGGAAAAACGCGATAGCAGAGGAAGCAAGGCAGAAATGGACCATGCAGAATAAATAACCGGGGCAGAGCTTTTTAGAGACCAAAGGACACATCAAAGAAAAATAGAGCACTCCCACAAGGGTGTTAAAGACGAAAAAGAGCCAAGGAGGGCCATGGGCTTTTTTTTTTTTAAGGGGGTGAATAAGTAGTGGTGTATGTTGGCAAAAAGACGTGAGGAGATGAGAGGAAGGAGAAAATTTATAGCAGAGGAAGTTGGTGTGGAGTTTTCCTCTCAAGAAGTCCAGCAGAGCAAAGAAGAAATAAAGCCTGGGCCACTGGGAAGGAGGCAGGGCCGGGGCTGGAACACCATGGGACAAAGCAACAGGGCTCCAAAGAGGACATTTTCTTCTTTTCACTAACTGACCTAGTTTTCTTGTTTCAGACCAAAGACAACTGCAGCATTTAGTGCTCTTTAGGCTGAGAAGATCCTCACCCTTGCAATGCCTTTGGTGCAAGAGCACACAAATTAGAAGGATTGAGATGGAGCGTGTCAGTGTGAGACAAACAAATCCATCTGAAGTCAGAGTCAGTGGCTGCGTTGTGGAAACACTACTGAGTTAGACAGCTGTCTTCCTCTTACCCACCACAGAGCAAACACAGAAACTCACAGTGGCTATCAGTCCCCACTAGACAGTCAGTACCCAGCACACACAACAGGATTGGGACCCGCTTTTCTTTGCATACTGGAATTCAATATCCCATCCTAAGGAACCATTTACTTAGGTCAGAATACATAGGACAGGCTAAATAAAGGGCTGTGGAGGAAAAGTTAAGGTTAAAAATAAAGACAATTAAATAAAGGAAAGGGAAGCAGAAGTGTGTTGCAGATAAGAACCAAGACGGATATGCAGAATTCAGTGCAGCCCAGAAGCCGCAGGAGTCTCAGATCAGAAAAGGAAAACATTCAACATCGTAGTCAGCTTTCTTTCTTTCCTCTTTCTGTCCTGGAATTCACCAGCTTAAGAGAATCTTCCTGCCTCAGCCACCCCATCCCAAGTGATGAGAGCACAGACATAAACCACTAGGTTTGGCAATCTAATTTTTCCTCCCAAAACAGGGTTTCTTTGTGTACCTCTGGCTGTCCTGGAACTAGCTCTTGTAGACCAGGCTGGCTTCAAACTCACAGAGATTCGCTTGCCTCTGCCTCCCTGAGTGCTGCCACCACCGCCTGGCTATAACTAATCTTTCAGAATGTTTTAAGGTTTATTCATGTGGATGAGTGTCTTCCATCCATGTATGTACGTGAACAATGAGTATAGTATGCTGGGTGCCCCAAATCAGAAAAGGGTGTGGTGTCAGATGCCCTGGTACTGGGATTACGAATGGTTATGAACAAGCATGTGGGTGCTGGGAATCAAACCCAGATCTTCAAATATAAATGCTCTTAAACCCATCTCTCCAGACCCCATAGAACTAATCCTAGTGACCTACGTGTCAGTTTTAAATCAAACACATGACAATGATTTTCAACTTTTATTCAAGATTTTGTTTTAAAATTCAGTAAGAACAAATTGTTTTTTAAGATAGGGTCTCGCTCTGTAGCCCAGGTTGGCCTCACGCTAGTGGCAACCCTCCTGAGATTTCTCCATGCACTGGTGACTACAGCAGAGATGGCTTCGTTTTCACACCCTTCACTACCTTTGCCACACCGGCCAACACGATGTCCCAGTCCACCCGAGAAATCCACACATCATTTTTCCATCACAGCAAGCCTTTTCAGAACCAAGAACTACTGCAAAGATACAGATCACTCAACTCTCCACACTTCCTGAAACCCGTCCTTCACAGAGGCCTGTGGACAGACACCTCTGGCCCAGAATGCCCCACTGCTGGGATGCTGGATGCTTTGTTCTCAGAAGCTTAACCCAGGTGAGCCGTACCACCTGCCTCCCAGTTTTCCTGGATCTGCTTTCTCTAGGAAGCCTTTGGAGGATCTTTCCTCTGCCTCTCCCCTCAAGTTTCCCAGGGGCTCTACCCTGCCTGGCTGTCTCTATTCAGAGACAAGCTGTGAACTTAGGGGCTTTGCATTTCGCACTGTGGGGCCAGCTGGGCAGACAACCCCTTCCATGATTTCTTTGGGCTCTTTCAAGATTCTCCCCACCCCGGGTTCGGTCCTCAAATCTCCCAGAGCCATGATCTTCAAAGGCCATGCTCTGTACCTTCTGGGCAAAGTGGCAGCGCTGGGGTGACTCAGCCCCGGAATGTGCTCACTTCCTCACTTTGCGCACCTGCCTGCACTGCTGGAACACAGCCTGGCCCACCTCCAGCGGATGTTTTCCTTGTCCCTGCACAGGTGGCCTGTGCCAACTCCCACCCTGTCCCTTGCCCCAAAGGCTGCTCTCCAAGGACTCAGCGGGCTGGACGTAAGCCACTGATACCCCTACACATTTACCGCAGTGCCCAGGCCATCGATCAGTTCTACACTGCTCTGCAACCTCAGAAAGTAGTCCTGCTCAGCTCCAGCCTCCTTCCCGACGCTGTCACAACACAAGCCTGCTTCATCTGTATTCCAGTAGGCTAATCCTCCCTTCTAATGCAGTGTGGCTCACACACCAGTGCCCACCAGGTCCACTTCCAGCATCTCCACTGCCTCCAGGGTCTCTAGCTTCCCACTCGCTAGTCTGTAGTGTGTGCAGAAGATAGCCTACACTCAGCCTTCAGGTGGGTTCCCCCAAAGCAGAGGAAGAGTTAACTAATGACCAGACTGCTAAACCCTGCGCTTGTTTGATGTCTTCTAATCCCTTCTCCAGCCAAGATGTCAGGGAGTCAAGGCCCCTACACAGGCGCCTACCTGGGTATACCCTAAGTTTTCCTTTGTTTTTGTCTTGACAGCATTTCTAAAAGGGAATCTTGTTTTCTTTCACTCAATGTGTGTGTGTGTGGGGGGGGGGGAGAACCTAGGACATGGAGAGGGTAGGTAAGCACTATCACTGACCTGCATCCCCGGCCAAAGCCAAAGGTATCTTGGAGGAAGACAGCTAAGGAAATTAGAGGGGCACAGACAGTTGGCTGCTGGATGAAGAGATGGCAGGCAGGGTGGCCTCTACAAAAGCCTGCCAGAAGTAAGTCATATTCGCTGTACCAGGGGATGGAGTAAAGCTTGACTGCACGGGACTACAGGCTTGAAGGAAAACCAGAGCAAACGTCCTATGAGCAGGAGAGGGGTAGCTGGAACCACAGCGGGGCCTCTGAAATGTGGGGAAGTAAAAAGTAAAGAGGACCAGTTAGATCAGGGCGTTAGTAATCGATAAACTATTATCACAAGTGTCACAGTGGAGACTTGAAAGTAATCCACATGAGGGGACGAGGGGAAAAAAGGGGGTCAGAATCAAATAAGAGAAAGCAGAGTCCTGAGGCTAGTGGGAAGGTAAGGAGATTCCTCTTCCCAAGGTACTGAGGTGGGAAAAGCAGCTCAAACCAGGTGTGAGGAACTCCAGGTGTTAACGACTGGAACCAAAATGCTCACAGGGCCACATCTGCTTTCGAAACAGGCAGTAGGGTACCTAGGAGCACAAATGTGGCCTGGAGAGGCACTCACAACAGCAGACCTCAGCTGTGCAAGCTGCTTACTGTCCTCCAGAGAGTGCACCAGCACTTTGTCTCTGAGCTTTAGCCTCAAGAAGAGGCTATTTTCTGAGGGTCACGGGCCAAAGACGCTACTAGGAACATCCCATGTGCTATCTCACAATGAGCCCATGAGCTGGCAATGCACAGATGAAAAGAAAGGATGACAGAGGGGAAGTAACTTGTGCGAGGTCAGATGGCTAGTAAGAGTCACCACCTGAATCTCCAGAACTCAAAGGATGCCAAAGGCGAAAGCCCACGAGGCCTTGCTCCATTGTGAGGGAGGGCACATCTCTGTAGAAGGGGGATGATCTGTTGGGGTACTTGGAAGAGATGCTTCTCTTTGAGGGAGGGCATTACCAGGGATGGGGCAATCTTGTAGCTGCTGCCCATTGGGTATAAAAACAACGGAAAGTTTACCATTGGGGTGCCCATGGGTGAACCCCTCTCCCCATAATGCTGAGGACAGTCACTTCTCAGATGCACCAGGGAAACCCTGCCCCCACACCCACCCCAGGAACTGAAGGAAACATGCCCTCCACTCCAGGTGCCTGCCCGCTCTCCTGGAGCCTCTGGCAGCTGCACCCTGCTGCAGCTCCTTGGTTTGGCTGGGGCACAGGATTAGCCATCCCCAGGAAATGCCTCCCTCCGGTCCAGGCAAGGATCCCAGCACACACACCCCTGGTGGTGGTGGAGGGAGGGTTGATGGAATGCTTCCTCTCTGCAGGTCAAGGAGATCTGGGGACCACCTGGGGCCTTCAACCCTCCCCCTCCCAGCTGGGGAAGTGCCCAGTCCAGTGCCCCTTCCATGGCCACCTCCCTCCTCCTAGCTGTGGGGACATGAATCAGCTCTCACAGCTTGTTAAAAGCAGGACCTCTTGTTTTCATGCCCTCACCTCAGGAAATAGAGCGACAGCCTGTCCAGTTCTGCTCAGCAGGGGGCCAGGGTCCTCACTTTATAAACATCCCCAGCCTGTAAGAGCAGAGGGCACTGGCATGGTATGAGACAGAGCCCAAGGAGAGAGACACTCAGGAGTCAAGGAGCAAGGCAAGAAAAGCAAGGGGATAAGGCCAGAGGAATCTGAACAAAAGCCAGGCAGGGTCTGAGAGAGCTGAGCTACAGGAATGGCTCTAAGGATGCTCTGGGCTGGACAGGGCAAGAGGATCCTGGGAGGCTGGAGGATCATCTGCTTGGTGGTGTCTCTGCTCCTGCAGCACCCAGGAGTTAACAGCAAGTGTTACTTCCAAGCTCAAGGTAAGGTGGACTGCTTGATGCTTAAGGGAAAGATGAGGGGGTGACGACAGCTCAGAGACGACCCTGTTAGAATATATATATTTAGTCCTCCAACCTGTGACACAGGAGGGACGAGATGGCTAGTATGCCTGGCTTCTCTCCCACCCTAGACCAGAGACTGCTGCCGACACGCAGTTTTCACCTACCAACTGACCAGTTCTCATCCTTCCCTAGCTCCCTGCCTCTACGACGGGAAATACTTCACTCTGGGTGAATCCTGGCTCCGCAAGGACTGCTTCCATTGCACCTGTCTGCACCCCGTGGGTGTGGGCTGCTGTGACACGTAAGTGACCCAGAGGGAGGACGGTCAGGGAGGAACTAAGTTCTGTGAGGCAAGAATAAACAGGAGAGCATCATGCGACCACAGAGGTGAAGGCACCAAGGAGGAAGGGGAGTTGAGGTAGATCTGGAGGGAAATACTCCTGCTTAGGAAACTAAAAAGTCCTTATATAGAGAGCTGAGCTGGAGAGTTTGGGGGACACTAGAAGATACCGGGGGACAACTATGAGAGGGAAGGGTACTCCATAAAGGTGGCTTTTCACTGTACCGACTCCCAATCTTTGGTTTTCTAGGTCTCAGCATCCCATTGACTTCCCCGCTGAGTGTGAAGTGCGCCAGGAAGCAGGAACCTGTCGGTTTTCTCTGGTGCAAAAATCTGACCCTCGGCTGCCCTGCAAAGGGGGAGGACCTGACCTAGAATGGGGCTCAGCTAACACCCCTGTTCCTAGAGCTCCTGCTCCCCACTCCAGCTAAAGGATCACCCATCTGCTGACTGCCCATTGCTGCTGCCACTCCCAGGGAAACCACTAGCAGCTGCCCGTTTACTCTGAATGAATAAATCAATGCCACAGCTGAAAGCCTGGTTCTCATCGCTGTGCGGCAGGGCCCCAGGTGGGAAAAGCGGGCCCCACCGGATCCAGCTGTTGAGTTTTCAATGTCTTGAAGAAACTAGTGCCATGGTGGGCATGTGGGCCACCTTCAGATAGTTATACTGCTGGTGCTGGGGCCTGGGGCAGCATATGAGACCAGGGTGGGGCTCGTAGGAAGCACTTTGATGGGGAGGTCCCAGCTGAAGGTGTCTACAGGCACCTGCTCAGGCCCCGTCCAGGTCGCAGGTTCAGGCTGCTCCAATGGGGGCAGAAGAACCAATCCTGGTTCCCGGGATGTTACAAACTCAAAATGCAGTCGCCACTTCAAGGACACTGTAAAAGGAAAAGACGGAGAGAGCTACTTTAAAACGGTGGCTCTCAACCTGTGGGTCACAACCCCTATGGGCCACAGGACCCTTCACAGGGTTCCCTAAGACCACCAGAAAAGAGAGATATTTATTTACACTACCATTCATAACAGTAGCAAAGTTACAGTTATGAAGTAGTAATAAAGATAATTTTATGGTTGGTGGGTCAGCACAGCATGAGGAACTGTATTAAAGGGGCGCAGCATTAAGAAGGTTGAGAACCACTGCTCTAAAACAGGTGTGGTGGCACATGCCCGTAATTCCAGTATTTGGTGAAGGCAGGAAACCAGAAGCTCAGGGTCAGTTTGATGCCAGCTGGGAGACTACATGAGACCCTAATATCAAAAAAAGAGCAAGCAAGTGGTAGGTAGTAAAGTCAGTGACAGGATGTGCCAGTAAACTAAAAAACCCAAAACTAAGACCCATCATGATGGCTCAGCAGGTTAAGGGGACTTGCCATCAAGGCTGCCGACCTAAATCGGATCCCCAGGACCAACTCCAGAAAGTTGTCCTCTGACCTCCACACACGTGCTGTGGTGCATATGCCCAGACACACACACAAAAGAAAATGAATGAATTTAAAATTCTCTGACTGGGTGTAATGGTGCATGCCTTTCATCCCATTGCTCAGGAAGAGGAGACTGAAGCAGGTGGATCTCTATGAGTTTGAGGCCAACGTGGTTTACATGATGAACTCCAGGCCAGTCAGAGGTACAATGAGTCCCTCTCTTAAAAAAAAAAAAAAAAGAAAAGAAAAAGGAAAAGGAAAAAAAAACAGGCAGGCAGTGCAGTCTGGTCTACAGAGTTAGTTCCAGGTGAAACAAAGAAACCCAGCTTCAGAAAACAATTTTTAAAAAAAAGAAAAAGAAAAGAAAAGAAAGAAAAAACAGATTGTATCCATGCAGGAGCTTCGATCAAACACTTTGTTTCTAAGGAACCTGGTGTGTTACCCAGAGATGCCATTAAGGATAGCAGTGTCAACTACCTAGCAACCCAACCAAGGTCAGGATAGTCAAGACTAGGTAGCTTAAAATAAATGTGCTAAGAAGCCAGAGATCAGTGCATCTCAGGGCAAGAACAGTGCTTTATAAAGCTGTTAAGAGTTTAGGGGTCGGCACATCTAAATAACAGAAGGTCAGTGGAAAGATGTAAGAAAATGCGAAGGGCTGGGCTGGATGTGGGCATGCATGTCACACGGGAGTTTTAGGATCATTACACTTCCCGAAGCCCAGCATTTACTTCCCCTACTCCTTTCTCCAGTAACAGTCGGGTTCTCACCGATGGCAGTGCAGAAGCCAGGAGTAGAGCAAAGAGGGATGGGGAGGGAGAAGCTGGTTCTAGTTGTATGGAGGCAGGACTCCTGGTGCCGGGCGTGCGTCACGTGGGACACCGAAGGGACAACTCCTGTCCCCCGGCGCCGCTGGTATTCAGGCTGTACACGCTCCTCAGTCTGCAAGCTTACTGAAAACTGGGAGCAAGAAGAGACGTATACCAGCAGGCATTTGGAAATCTGGACTGTAGGTGAGTGGCTGCCCTGAGGAACCCCAATTTCCACTTCTACAAACCACCCCTCTCTATGCAGGCCTCTCTTCCACCCTAGCCCTTCAGGCTGAGCACAACAAAGCTGTTCCTTTCTCACCTGCAAACAGGCTACAGTTCCTTCCCCTAAGTTTAAGGTCCCCACCACATCCTCGCCGAGTCTGTACACAGATTTGAAGATACCAAATGTCCCAACTTTCCCTCGGCCATCACTGATATTGTACAGATCTGGGGAGAACAGATACCAGAAGGTTACAGTTTACACTGGGGAATATCTAGGAATGAGTCTCAGAAGCCAGAACACGAGACTTTTCTTTCCAATGGGGGCAAAATATTAGTGGACCATGAAGGGATGTGGTAGACAGGAGGCTTTTCAGACAGGGACACACTGAGGGAAAAGTTGGATCAGGGCAATTATGAAAGGATTCTCACGGAGGCTGCGGCAGGAGGTGGCAGCCATGAGGCGCTCCCCAGCCAGCTCGGCTAGCCATGAATCCTTCTTGCCGCTTTCGTCCTCCTCTAAGAAGGGACTGGTTGGAGCCACCACCTCATCCTGGGGAAAGTGGACATCCTGAAGACCTAGACAGAATTGAGCAGAGGTAACGTCGTGAGGGATCAGAGACATAAACAGACACTGGGTTTGAGAGTCTGACCTGAGGAGGCTGAAGGTCTCAGCTTACTCCCCACCTCATCCCCAGCACTGTCCCTAACACCAGGAGTCTCTGCAGGTCCCCTTGGACTATGCTCTGTAAGCCTCCATCCCACCCCTTCCCTCTAGGAACCTGGCTCACCAGTCAGCACAAGAACTCTCAAAGGGACCCGGAGTAAAGTGATGGGCGAGTTGACACGCTGGCAGCCAATGGTCAATTTGTAGACGTACTTGACTGACTGACCCCGAAAGGAAGGTGGTCCCTCTGTGGGCAGCACTTCGCTGTAGGAGTCTGGGGGTGGGGGGGAAACAGCAGTCAGGATAGCTGGAGGCCGTCAGAGTCCCCCCTCCAGGGAACTGAGAAGGCAGTTCTGGGCTGGGGGACAACCACTCACATGATTTGGATTCACCAGGGTCTAGCCTCAAGTCACAAAACAGAATTTTCGGTGGAGTAGAAAGGATACACTGACCCCTCTCACCTACGGAAAGTAAGAAAGAGTGCAATGAAATGACTCTGCTGTCCATTGTTGACCAGGGTCACACAGCAAGGGGAGGCAGGAAGGACGGCCAACTCTTTCTGTTGTGGTACAGGGACAGTCTCATAGCCCCAAATCAGTAAATTATCTTCCCCTCCACTCCTGATGCATTGGTAACTGCATCATACAAGAACAACTTAACTCTACCCCTGGGTGACACAGACTTCCCCTCCCTCCAAGACAAATACTCTGTCTCTAACCTCGGTGTGGCAGAAAGACAGTCTGGCTGTCAGGCTGGACATCTGGCTGACTAGAGTCCGGGGGTGGTAGGGCTACTCGACTCTCACTGGCATGGAACTGGCAGTGGATCTGGGCACTGGCCCAGGCCAGAGCCTCACTGTGGAAAAGGAAAAAGAAGGGATGAGAAGATAGACTTCACAAATGCTTTCCCTCCGATACTGCCTGACAAGATCACCAATGTGAAACCATTGCACAATGCAAAGCGCAACAAGTTCAAAGAGGGAGGAGGAAAGGTGGGTAAGGACCATGTCATCCACCCTTCAAGGAGCAAGGAGGAAGTAGGTGGTGATGGTAGTGTGGTTACAGGATAACCAAAGCTCTGATTTAGAAGGAGTGAGCGATACCAGGCCGGAGGGGCCGCCACCTTCAGTACCAGCATCCCCACCTGGATGCAGAAGTGGCGGTCGGGGGAAGGGGATTAGTGACAGTCACTAAACATTCCAGAGCCTCCCCCGCCAGAAATACAGGACCTCGACTCAGTTCAGCCACCACTTCAATCATGGCAGCTCCAGAAACAAATCTAGAAGGAAACACAAAGTGCCAGAAGTCAGTACAAGGGGAAAGGAGGAAGGAGTGTCTAGGACCTAGGGTTATGTCTAGATTTGGGCCCCAGGGGCAAGAAGTAGGGGTTTTCAAGTTTCGGTGCGGGTGGGAAGAGCTAGGATTTGGGGAGCTGGCGACGGATACTGACTCCGTACTGCCTGCGTGAGGACGTCGCTCTAGTCCCAGACCTCTCCGCCTCTCGAGTCGAGCTAGGCCCCCTGCGCCGCCACCCACAGGCTCCCAGGCCTGCCTTTGCCTTTGTCTCCGCTCCCCTCGAGGCTCCACATCCTAGCTCAGGACACCGCTGCGCGCCACGTCTCAGGATACAAACGCGGACTCGTAGATGGAGGTCCTCACCTGCCCGCCCCTCCGAGACCGGCTCGGAGATCGGTGGCGTCCGCGGTGTCAGCGGCGCGGCAGAGGCGGGACTTCCTTTGTCACACTGCAGGGTTGAGGCGCCCCTTCCGGTCCGACCTGCGGGGTGCTTCCGACCGGAAGGGGTTCGGGTGGTCCCTGGGCTGCGGGTCACCCTACCAGCGGTGGTACCTGAGCGCGGGCGCTGGGGATCCCGGCCGGAGGGACCCGGTACCCAGCCCTGGAGACCCTGGAGCCTCGGACCGGGGCGGGGCCCAGGGTCGCCGCGAACTCCCGGGCGGGGCCCAGGGGCGGTGCTTTGCGGGCAGGTACCGCGGCTCCGCCCCCGTCCGCGGAGCCGGTCGGCCTTCGGCCGGGCGAGCTATTCGCCACGGCCCAATGACAACAAGGCCCAACCCTTCCCGCCTAGGATCTAGAGTCGGGACCCAAGGGAGCCCGCGGCGACTTTATTGCTGTGGCCACTGCTGCTGCAGCAAGAGCTCTCTGACACTTTACCCGGACACCAACTTCCTACTGCTTTCCCCAGCGTCCGGCCCTAACTGCAACTGGTGCCCGCGTTTCGAAACGTCAAAAAGGAGTCAGAGGGACCCGAGACCCCCGGGGTCGTGAGGACCCAGGAGCCAGTGAACATGGT